CCACCAGCTGACTTGGTCTTCCCCTCCTCTTGATCTGTATTTCTTTTTTCATATCTTTGGGGGTTTTTAAAAAAACAAAACAAAAATGATCCATATTTCTTCTTTTCAGTGTACTTCTTTCACATTGGTTTCTCATTTTCTGCACTCAATTCACATCCATTCAACACCCATTAATTTTTTTAAAAAATATATCTTTTTGTTTCTCCACAGAAATTCACAAACTATATTCCACTGTCACAGCATTTCACATGTATTTTTGTTTTTCTTCCACAAACCCAACTCTCACTTGCGTACAGCGGTTGGTAAAAATATAAACAGACTTTTTTCCTTTTTCTTTTTTTTTACAACAAACATTCATTCCTCACAAGACAGCAGAGCATATGATCCACTTGTTTTCTACTAACGTTTGCACATTCTTCTTTCAATCAATTTAATAAACATTCCATGCAAGGAACGCAAACCTTTTTCCTCGTTCCGGGTTTTCACCATTTATATATAATTTGCAACCATTCACTCCATTTTCTCTGTCAAACATAAGGACCTTGGACTTTGATACAATAATTTTCAAATCCACTCTTCTCATTGTATCAACAATCTAACATTCACTATAAATCATTCCGGTGCTCAGCCAACAGCACTGGATCATCTGCATACGAATGAACAGCTATGTTCGGGTCTCCAATCCTTTCACCTCTTCACTCACTACCAGAATTCCTTTTGCATTTATTCATAGATGCATTAAGCACTCAAGGGAGGGGGGGAGCCATTCACTAAGGACACCATTTATTCTCACCTGTGCTTAACTTAGATCATATACTATACCGTATATTGTAACTTAGTTCATATACCGTGTCACATTCAATCCACAAGCCAATCAAGCAAGCCAACATATTACAATCCTCCTTCCTCAGTGACATCATTGTATGTGTGTCAGGTCCCATAGAATTCTGTGGCTTAGGGGGATCTCTGTATGGGGTTTCTGTTTCTATTTGCTTTACTGTAACATTCGGGACCTAGGGAAGGAGAAAAGAATGTACCTCAAGCAGCTGCCTTATCTCGTCTCTGGAAAAGAGCAGCAGCGTTGCCTTGGAGTATCACCTTCCAGGCCTGAGTTTCTCATAACATCTTCACACACTGGGATTGGCTTGATGAAGTATTGGACTTTGGGAGGGGCTCTGTCTGCAATGGTTTAATGTAACGCAGGGGTCTGCAACCTTAAACACTCAAAGAGCCATTTGGACCCATTTCCCACAGAAAAGAAAACACCAGGAGCCACAAAACCTGGGTGGGTGTGGCCAACTCAATGCCACTCACTCCCATCCAGTCACATGACCCCCTCACCCACACCTACCCAGGTTTTGTGGCTCCCAGTATTTTCTTTTCTTTGGGTATTGGTATTGTTTATTTAATTGAATAGTCATAAGACCTTATCAATAACTTAACATAAATATATAACAAGACAAAATACAGATGAGTTAGATATATAAGAATACAGTAATAAAAACATATGTGGAAAACCAGGGAGTCAGAAATTGGATAATAGATCACCCTTGCAGGATACACCCATTTGTTCAATATATTGGGTTCTTAGGACCACTGCCTTGATTATAAACTTAGCAGTCCTACGAACGATGTGTACATTAGAGGCCCGGAGGAAATATAACAATCTGTGGTTTGATTCCCAATGGGCTGTTCTTTCCAGTAGAAATGATAAATATTTAAGCCTAATGGGGGCATATATTTGGCAGTTGAACAAGATTTGGGAAATATCTTCAATGGCAGATGAACCACATAAGCAGGTTCTCTCGTTCTTTTCTTTGGGAAACAGGTATCTCTCTGTCTGTGTGTCTCTTTCTCTCTCTCTCTGTGTGTATATGTCTCTCTTTCTCTCTCTCTCATCACTCTCTCTCCTCTCTCTCGTCTCTCTCTCTCTCTTTCGTGTGTGTGTGTGAGTGTGTGTGTTCCCTCTTGAACCATTTCCAAAAAACAGGCGAGGGTTGGCGTGTTTTGTTTTGTTTTGCTGATGTTGTTCTTTCTTCTTCTTTGGGTGCTTTTTACCTTATGATTTAAATCAAGAGTCATTTCAGATTCCCAGATAAATGAAGTTCATTCGTCCCCCTGCTGTGGCTTCCTGTCAGCTGAACCCACCCTGGCTGGCCCCACCCTGGCTGGCCCTCCCCTCTCAGTCACTCCTCACCTAAGAAGGTAAGGGTGACAGTGGTGGGTGGAGACTTGCTCCATATTCCAGAGCAGAAGCGAACCCCCTGTACTTGCCTCTTCTTCCAGCCCTCGTTGGTGCTGAACGCACCTTGGTCACTTGGGGAGAGATGCGTGACTTTCTCTCTGCTCTGGGACACTGGCCCAGACCGGTTGCCACCCATGGTCCACATCGTAAGGGCTCCAGGAGGAGTAGGGGACGCCATCTCCACCATTGTGAAGCACGCTAAATTTAAGTGTGCTGCACAAGGTGCTGCAAAAGTAGCAAGCAGGCCATGGAGGTGGCAAGAGCAGCAGTGTCAGCTGCAGCTGGGCCAGTGTCTTGGGGTGGAGAGCAAGTTGCACATCTCCCCAAGTGACTGAGGTGTGCGCAGCACCAACAAGGGTCGGAAGAAGAGGCAAATATACGGGCGCTTCACTCCCGCTCTGGAATATTGAGCGAGTCTCCATCGGTCACCGTCACCCTTACCTTCTTAGGTGAAAAGTGACTGGGAGGCGAGGGCGAGGGGCAGGGCCAACCAGTGGTGGGTTCAGCCGATAGGGAGCCACAGCAGCTCCAGAGCCACGGATTGCCGACACCCGATCTAACGTTTCAAGCTGGAAAAGTTACTTCCTGCCTACATCTCTTGCTGTCACAATCTTCCAATAAAAGTTTTTTTGAAATGGCTTTTGTTTCAAGAGTTCTGCTTTCTTGAGAAGACTGGCAAGGCAGGACCTTACAATATGCCTCTTTTTTATTTGCTTACATCCTATATTGCTGCAGGGAGGGATTTGTGTAGTGACTTCACTGCACATACTCAGACACCATGAGAGCACACCTTCAGTGCTTACTCTGTTTTTTGCCTGTAATTGACAGTTGGCCAAGAATGGAACAGCTACAGCCCTTAGGCCTTTCTGTTGTTGGCAAAGAATAATGAAAGCACCTATTAGCATAGCTCTTTGCTTGGATTCTTTTCTAATTTTCTTGGAATCAGATTTTATCAGTTGATCTTGGATTTTATCAATTGGCAATAGTGTGGGTTCCTTTGTTCATTGTTGATACTATGAAATCATGATTCCCCCATATGCAACATTTTTTTTATCATCTTTGTCTCATTCACTCATTTTCCTAACCTTTCACTGTAAACAATCAAGCCACAATTAGCTTTTAATGGAAAAGTCAAAGTATCAAGCCACAATTAGCTTTAATTGCTAACCCGTCTTCTCTGTATGCATGCCGCAACTATTTCCCCATGACATGTATCCTCCTACAGTTGTAACCTTTGTTACATCAATGAAAGGCCTTTGATTCACAAATAATGTATTTCCATAAATTGCAACATTCTCAGGATAACGATAATGGGATGCCTACAACTCTTCCCATTCAAAATGTGATGTAGAGTCCAAGCTGTTAGAATTAAAGTCAGTGCAACTGCCATTCATACTTCTCACAGGTTAAGTACCTTGAATGACAATGTATTCTCTTTCTGGATACAAGGAAACCCAAATTCTTATCCCCATCTGTACTACTTAACAGTTTTAAAATAATTCTTTGTTGATATTCAAATGTGTATCTTTCTTCAATCTCTTTACATAAGAACCTGGTTGGTCAGTCTCTAGTGTTCTTCATTCTTAACAGTAAAAGACCATTGCATCTTGCTAATTTTGATGAAACAATTATTGACTTCTCCCTGGTTCTCTCTAATTCTTAGATTAGTCCTTCCTCCATAAGAGTAAAGACAAACTTGGTATATTATGGCATATTTTGCCACAAGCCAAGGTGAAACTCAGTTTTATCCAAGCATGCACATGTTATTCCTTACAAGCTAGGATCTCTAATTAAGAGATTATGTTGCATACGGACATTCTGTTGCTTGCATCCCACACACTCAGAGATGTAGTACCATATTGGCACATACAAATTACTTAGGGCTTCCAAGCATTCACCATTAGACAATACTAGTCAACAGTGAAAACTCAGCCAGGCTTCAAATGTGACACATTATTTTTTTTATCACTACTTGACATACGACGATCATCTTCATTATTTCTATTTTGTCTTTCTTTCATGGTCTTCAAGTTGGAACACATAATTTCTGGATGTTCTCTCATTCAACAATTAGCCAGCTACTGTTATAGGGGTTATGTCTGCTGTGTGGGCAGCACTAACCCTTTCTAGCATTCATCTCTATTGTTCTGTGATGCATTTCTTGTCTCTCTAGGATTTACCTCTATAAACACACACACACACTCCCAATGATGGCTTATGACTTTTAACTGCATTTTTATTAAACTTCTTGAAACAGCTACAGACGTTCTTAGCTTCAGCAGGAATGGGCCTTCAGATCACAGCTTTACTATTTTCAACATTAATAAATGGCTACAAACTCCTTTTGGCCCCTCCATTAAAGAACTCTCTCCTGAATCCTACATTTGAAATAGGGAAAACCCATCAGAGGTAGGATTCTAGTTTGGGCGAACCAGGAGCTCCAAAGATCAGCTGTTGGGCCTACCCACCCGCCCTGGCTCTAGTCTGTGCTTTATTTCCAGGTTTTCCATCTCAGCTGCTTTGCACGGCCCAGCAGATTGCCGCGCATCAGCTGTTTTACACACAGAGCTTGTAGCAGAAGGTGAGTTCCAAATGCTGCACACACACATAAACCACACACTCACCAAACTGGTTGTTATACTGGTTGAATCCCACCCCTGAAACACATGTAATCAGCAGGAACCAAGGGAGCTCAAGGAGAATAGAATTTGATTAGCAATTATTTATTATTCCCCCCCCCCCCCGATGTCTTTACCTCTGTGATCATGACCAGGCCCACAAAGTACGAGAGGATGGAGACGAGAAGAATTAATGTTTCTCTGCGGTTCTTTTTCCGGAGGATTCCAGGGTACATGTCAACTATAGCGGTGACCAAGCTTTCCACACAGACAAACTAAGGAAAAGAGAATTGAAGCAGCTTTCAGTTCCTTTCACCATAGATATTTCCGGATTTTAATCCTTGCATATCCTTCAATTCATTGAAAGATTACAAGATATCCATCTGAATCCCATCACATCCACACACAATCCTGAAAGACATTGGCTGGAGATAAACAATAATCATTTCTTTTTTTCACTGAGAAGTTGAAGGCAGTCTTTAAATGGGATCATTGCTCATGATATGTAATCTCATCTCATTTTTGCCTCTGGTAAATTCAAGCTCCTGCCAACTGCTGTAACATTTCAAAGAGCTGGAAATCCTGTCTGATCACAGGCAATTATAAAGTATCAAGCATAGTATATATGCACTAAACTGCCAGCCCAGTGCTGTTATTAGTTCATGGCTCTATATTGCAATAATCTTCTTTATTTTTTACTCAGTTTTGTCAATATGAGTCAAAATGTTTGAAAGAGATCAGTGTGCTCCATGTTTGATTTGTTTTTAATGAAATAGCTACTAACTGCTTACTTCTGAAAACTGCTTATTTCTCACTGAGGACAGTTGCTGAACAATCCTGGGGCCATCTTGAAGGATTTCTTTCTTTTCCCATAATAGATCATCTAGACCAGGGGTCGCCAACCTTTTGGACCTCAGGGACCACCAAACTCATAATTTTAAATCCCGTGGACCAGAAACCCTGGGAAAATCCTTTAAAAAGTCTGCAGAAAAATTCCCCATCCCATTTTCCTACTGATCATTCTTTATTTGGGATCACAGGATACTGTCTCCAGCTCTGTTCTCAGGGAGAGAGAGGGGGGGAGGGAGGGAGGGAGAGGGAGAGGGAGAGGGAGAGGGAGAGGGAGAGAGAGAGAGAGAGAGAGAGAGAGAGAGAGAGACTTTTGGCTTCATGCAAGGAAAACAGCAGAAGCAGTAGAAGTCTTTCTTTCTCTTCCCCAAACTCCACCAGAAATGAGTCTTTGTGAGACTTGTCGTGCCGTTGCAGCCTCTTGGAGCAGATGCCTTGCAGGGTCCCAAAGACTCATTTCTGGCGGAGTTTGGGGGAGAGAAAGAAAGACTTTTGCTGCTTTCCTTGAGTGCAGCCAAAAGCAGAAGAAGAAAGAAGCAGAAAGAAGCAGCCGTTGGCCAGGCGAGGCACGTGGGGCGAGTGGGGCAAGTTTCCCCCCTCCTCCCTTCCCCTCCTCCCCTCACTACCTTGTGTTGTTCGCAATGCAAGTGACACAAGCCTTGTGTTCCTGCGGGCCATGTGGGCGGCTCAGCCTTGTGTTCCCGCGCAGCCTGGATTAATTGCTTTGGGGGCTGCTTTGGGGGTGACATTTCTCTGTGGACCATCAAAATTTTCTCACAGACCACCAGTGGTCCCCAGCTCACTGACTGGTGACCACTGATCTAGACAGACCAGTTAACTTCTACCTGGATTCAGATTAATTCAGAAATTACCTTAGTTCTACCCATCTCTTTTAAAATAATAAATCTCAAATAACTTTTAAAGTTAATCAGGGCAGTATTATCAGGGGGCATGTCTACCGGTTTAGAACATTTTAAAGAAAAACAGCAAAAAATATTTATTTTACTGTAGGAAAAATTGTATGGAGTCAACATGGCCAATCACTATGCAAGTCTTCCACTAGGTGTTCCTTTTGTTTGTCACTCAATCTTTGGGTTTTGTGAGAACTAGTTTGCTATTTACTTGCTTTAAAAACAATATTTACTAAATCCCACATATTCTGTTTGTGGTCTGAGTTAACTCAACATTGCCATAATCTCCTTATACAATCCTGGAACGCCCATCTTTGCACTGATACTTCACTGAAGAATCAAAGACAGAGGTGGTAATTCAGCAGGTTCTGACCAGTTCTGGAGAACCGGTAGCAGAAATTTTGAGTAGTTCGGAGAACCAGCAAATACCACCTCTGACTGGCCCCGCCCCCATCTATTCTCTGCCTCCTGGGTCCCAGCTGATCAGCTGGATCTTCTTTTGTTCCCCTGCACAGGAGAAAGGAGCTGGAAAGCAGGTTAGTGGGGTGGGGAGGGAATGGGGATTTTACAGTATCCTTCCCCTGCCATGCCCACCAAGCCAAAGAGGACCAAAAAATTTCATCTGAATTGGCAAGTGATCAAAATATCACCAAAAGAATAATGAAGCTATCAGATCTAAAGAGGCATACTGAATTATCCCGCCTCCTCCATTTCTTTTTTTTTTTTTTTTAAGTGATATGGTGGTATCAGATTAGAATGGTGACCATTTTAAAAACTATATCATTATTTTCTGAAATAGAATAATGTTAGTTCCAGGGAAGGCCTAAAGACAACCCTACACCAAAAGACCACTAATGCCATTGCTGAAATTATAAGCATTATCACTAGACCGAGTCTGATGTTAACATTTTTGTCCTGTCTTCAAGGAACTGTCTTCCATTTTCCCCAGCAGACGATGACTCAGTAAAAACAGAGACAAGACACAGGTGTAATTGGCTTCAAAAGATAAAGATTTTTCAACCATTTTAGATTCCTTTTCTAAGGACTTATATTATGTAACTAAGCTAAGCATTTTTACCACTGAATGCAGAGTAGTAGTTATTTATTATTTAGGAGAAAAGGATCGAAAATGGCCTGGGTCCCAGGCAAGGGGGACCAAGCATCAGACAAGAAACAGTGGATGGAAATTAATCAAGGAGAGAAACAACCTGGAATTAAGGAGAAATTTCCGAACAGTGAGGACAATTAAACCAGTGGAAAAACTTGCCCTCAGAAATTGTGGGTGCTCCATCACTGGAGGTTTTTAAGAAGAAGACTGGACATAACAGAAGAACAAGGAGTGCTTATTTCAGAGGTAGCTGAGTCAGGTGAGTGGTAGCTCATGCATATGGGGACTTACCTTGGACAAAATGAAAATTACATTGTCTGAAATGGTACAGGATCTCCTGCTTGAGCTGGACTAGAAGACCTCCAAGGTCCCTTCCAACTCTATTCTGATTCTCAAGCTTCTAATCCTTTTTACATGTGCCTACAACATCTGTTACCCACAAGCCAGTCAACATGAATTTCATGCTCGGGATTGATGGGAATAATACACCTAACTACCTGGGGGCAACAGATTAAGAAAGACAGGTTAAGTACAAGGCCGAGCCTGCCCATTCGTAGCATCTTTACCTGACTGTCCAGTCCCAGGAGAACCACCATAACAAAGAAGAAACAAGCCCATAACGGGGAGAAAGGCAGCATGACGACGGCTCGTGGATAAGCAATGAAAGCCAGACCAGGTCCTGTGGTGAGAAAATTGCTAATATGTTGAAGCCATATAACCAGCATGAGACATTACGATCATTAGCTTCCCATCCAACTACAGATAGTCCTTGGCTTATAACAGTTTGTTTAGTGACCATTTGTTGTGGTTCGCCGGCAGCCTGTGCAAATGGCAGCAGTATCGGACAGTTGGGAAAAACGGGGACCAGTCCGGGAGTCTGGAGAGGAGCTGGACAAGGGTCCTGCATCCGATGCAGAGATGGGGCCAGGACAATTGGGGAGTGGGGTGCTGACTCTGGAGCCTCCGGAGTCTGGCAGCAATAAGGCAGAGGAACAAGGGGAGCCTGTTCCCAGTGCGCATGTGCACAAAGCTGCTAGAAGGCAAGAACAGCTGAGACAAAAGCTGCTAGAAGGCAAGAGCAGCTGAGACAAAAGGGGGAATTTGGGAGTTAGGCTGGGAGATGATTGCCCCTCCCATAAGGTATAAAGAACAGGCAAAGGTGAAGAAACCTTTGCAGGAAGCAAAGTCGTTCGCTCTATTCAGATTAATCCTTGAAGCTCTGTGTGAACTTTGTACTACGGTTGGTTTTTTACAGTTCATTTGGCACTTTAGTTGTTGGCAGCAGTTCAAAGGAGAGAAAGGTGGGTGCTTATCTCAAGGGACTGTTTGGGACTCATTACGGGCTGGGAATAGACATAATTCCCAGCGTTGAAATAAAACAAGAGTTGCTTGGACTAAGTGTGTGCTTAATTGGAGTCTCAGGAAGTCTTGGTCAGAACACCATTCGGAGTCACAAAAGCACTGAGAAAAGTGACTTATGACCAGGGGTGGGATTCTCCTGGTTCGGACAAGTTCGGGAGATGATCAGCTGGCTCCGAACCAGTTCGCTCCGACGATCATGTGCCCCCTCACCCGCTTCTGTGCTGTACTCACCTATATCTGCTCAGCTGATTCGGGTGGCAGAGCAGATTCCCACACCTCAGCTGTGTTACTTTCCCGAAGCAACACTGAATGTAACTTATTTCAAAAGTTTGCAAGCGAGCACAGCACACATCAGATGCGTGCATGTGCAAAGCACACATGAATGCACAAAGCGCGCGATTAGCGAACCAGTTGTTACACCAGCAGCTTATGACCATTTTCTACATTTATGACCATTGCAGCATCCCAGGTGGTCAGATGATTTACATTTGGATGCTTAACAGCTGTTTCATATTTATGACCGTTGCAGTGTCTCAAGAATTAGCGATTAAAGGAGGAGTTAATTGTAGGCCAGTTCATATTTTTATTTCATTATTAGCACTTGTATACATTATTGATGTAAACATACAAATTCCCCAAGAGAGAGCAGGAATCAGTGAATTCATGCAATTACATAAATACAATTCCACAAGATTGCAAACACTTTTGTAAAAACAGCACTGTGGATATTTTGTGTATAAATATATTTCTAAAAATAATCATCGTATAATATGAAAATCTCAGCTTTTTAAAAACTCTACAATCAAAAAATATTAAAAATTGTACAGGTAGTTTTCAACTTAGAACAGTTCATTTAGTTATCCTTAGAAGTTAAAACACTGAAAAGGGTGACTTATGACCATTTTTCACACTTATGACCATTGCAACAACCCCATGGTCACATGATCAAAATTCAGACGCTTGGCAACTGGTTCCTATTTATGAGGGTTGCAGCGTCCCGGGGTCATGTGATCCCCTTTTGTGACCTTCTGACAAGCAAAATCAATGGGAAAGCCAGATTCATTTAACAACCATGTTACCGATTTCACAACTGCATGGATCCACTTCACTAAATGTTGCAAGGAAAGTCGTAAAATGGGACAACACTCACTCAGCAAATTTCTGACTTAGCAACATGAACTCTGGGCTCCATTGTGGTCGTAAGTTGAGGACTACCTGTACTTTTCATTATATCCAAGGTAGGTCCCCCTATGCATGAGCTACTCACCCGACTCAGCTACCTCCGAAATAAGCACTCCCTGTTCTTCTGCCATGAAACCCAGAATGGAAAAAATGGCAAAGCCAGCCACAAAACTTGTGCCACTGTTCAAAAAACACAGAGCGATACAATCCCTAGAAAGCGAGAAGAAAGAGTGAGAGACGACGTGAGAAAAGAGCAATAATTTGCAAAGACATTTAACATCAATGTATCTGTCAACTCATAAAACATTTTGTATACATGTTTTATAGTTGACAATAGAAAGAAGTGGGGGGAGTTTCAAAGAGCAGGAAACAGTGTGGAATCGAAAGTACATTCCATTCATATTTTCTTCAGAGACTGATTAGATGGTTGAAGCTTCTGCCTCGAAAACAATCTAATTGGAGAGCATGATTGATGACTCTTAGCTATGGATGTTTTTCTTGGATGATGGGGGGGAGCAGGATCAAGGGTGATCTCAGAGTTGGCTACACCCAGGTTAGTGCCAGATGTAGAAAGTTATCTTCAAATAAATCCTCTTTAGTTTTGGGAGTGTGGCTCAAGGCTCATGATTTAATTGGAGTAACTGCCGGAATCCTGACAGTATCTAGATAAGAATAAAATATTTGCATGAAAATGTGTACACCGTGTCCTGAAGTTGTTAAAACTAGTTGCATAGATTTTAAATTTGAATGTAAGTGTAATGATCCTAAGGAAAAATACAAGATTAATTTTCCAGGCACCTTGATAGTCTTCCCTAAGAAGGGAAGAGGAAGAGGAGGGAGGGAGGGCGGGAGGGAAGGAGGAGGAAGGAAGGAAGGAAGGAAGGAAGGAAGGAAGGAAGGAAGGAAGG